TTAAATAAAATCATTAAAATTTTAATAAACGTAAGATGAAATTTTTCTTGATGAGATTCCTTTTCAAAACGTGGCTATCAAGTTGGACTTAACAGATTTTATTAGTTACTGTTCTCCATGCCTATCTTACAAGTTAAATAAATGACTATTATTTCAAGAATATTAAACCAATTTCTTGTGAATGTTTTTTACCACTGAAATATTGTCGTTACAAGTGCTGAATTTGATTATGAAACTGCTATGGTATCAATACTTGAGTGTGGTATTACAGAAGTTTTTGTAATGACAAAATGAGCAGTGCTTTTATATGACAGATTAACTATACAGTTATCACTAACTGAAGAGCTGCTCAGTGGCACGTTCCAAATCCCAATTATAAGATGATAAAGCAACTCTTGCATTGTGTTCCTCAATTCCCATATCTGTTAGCCGCCTTATTTTGTCATCTAAATCAGGCATCTTTGCTGGTCCTATAAGCATTCCTTTAATTAGACTAAAATATATCATCATTGATAAAACTGGTATACTTACCACCTGCATACACAAATGTCCAATGCTTGGCAGTTTGACGAAACATTTCTGGATGTTCCTTATACTGTTTAGCTACTACTGCATCTTGTGGATCATCTGGTTCAGCTGCAGCTAATAAAGCTTGCAATGACAACAATACTGTACGTAATGTCATGGCAGCAGCCCTAAAACGGTTATATTTATAATATTAGATGCGCTTACAATACTGAATAAACATACTATATTTTATACCATGTATCGGTATTTACCATTGATCCTTCAATATATCCAAACAAATAGCACCTGTTACTGAAGATATATTAGGATGCCATATTTTTGTTATAAATCGTACCTATAAGAAAAATTAAATTATTAGTAAATTATAATATTTATACTACAGAAGATTTACACATGTATTTAAATGATTACTTTTCATGTTTTAAACCTAGATGATGAATAAGAAAAGGGTAATATTAACAAAACTTAAATGTATATGAAATGTTTACCACCATTCTAGTACTGCAGTAAAAAATAATTGGAAAATTATAATCATTGAACACTAAACAATAAATTCAATCATGTGACCCCACTCAAAAAAGATAAACTTAGAAATTGCTTTGTCATGTTTTAGGTTATATTAATCTGACTTAATCTCAAGCAGCATAAAATTGATTTTATATCATTAACATATATTAATCATATTGACTTACAAAGTGCTTACTTTAGGAGGATTGAAGGGATATGTCTCGGGAACTTTTATCTCGAGTACAAAATTACCTCCTTCATATGGTGTGTCTGGTGGACCCGCGATCTCACCTTTTAATTCAGTATAACTATCATTTACTAATTCAACCTTTATCGCACATTTTGCAACCTGCAACATAGTTTAGAGAAATTATTAGCAGAAAACATGTTTTCTGAAAGGATCGATTATATTCAAGTTGACTTGAAATTCTTTTTATAGGGACTTACATGACTGAATATATCAATAGTTTGCGTAACATAAAATTCATCTTATATCATAAACAATTGAAACTAATGATTTGCTAATCTAATGATTACTTCATTGCACATATTTCATACATAATAAATGTTTTATTGACATGTTTGTTCTCCTAAAGGCCAATTAAGTGCCATATATTAATAAAATGTAAATCATGGAATTTTTCAAATTGCCTACAGAAAATAACCAACGACCTATTGACACCAACGTTTGATAAGGAAATGACGTTCTCTTTCATAGTGATAATCGGTAGAATGGTTATAACACAAAGATTGTGATACAGCAACGCAATGTGCCTACGTATAAACATGTGAAATCAAACATTTGCATCAAAACATACGTAAGTGTGCATACAAAATGGATCTCCTAAGACAACATAAGGCCAAACAAGAATGTCAGTGCTCTCCAAAAATGAACAATCATGGTACGTACCATTCAAAAACAAAGATTTTCAGAAACATAGAAGAGATAAAACTTAATCAACAACATAACAAAAGAAAAATCAAAATTCACGCCGATACGCACGATTAAATTATCTTTTAATTCATTGAAGTATCTCTGTAACATGCAGGCAAGCTATGTACAGTCATATTTCTTCTTAACTGAAAATAATGAATAGAGAAATTCGTTTAACGTAATACAATGCATGCGTTCGTCTGTCGCATTCAAATAACAATTTTAAAATTAGGTGACAGTCAAAAATATCATACAACAGGTGCCTACGCTTTGTTCGCGGTGATTTTATCAACCAATGAATCGCGGTACATTTTTGTCACGCTACACATGAAATATCTTTGGAGCAATGTCATATAATTGTAAGATATTGTTAGGCAAATTCAATATCTCCGTTTAGCAAGAAAGGAATCGTATTCCTTAAAATCGTACGACGCTATTATTCACTCACCTCTTCGCTTTTTATAACCTCTTTAAATTCGCGTTTGATTCTCTGTGCCGCAATGTTCGCCATAGCTCCCGTATCGATGAGACGGTCAGCACACTGTCATCGTCATTCAAATAGATTAACGAAGTTCTCTGAGAGCGTCAACGTGCGCGAACTTTTCAGGTAATCGTACTCGAATTCGCTCTCTCTTTCTATTCAGAAAAACGATCGTTCTAACTCGTGCTCTATGCCAAAATCTCCGCTCACGGACACATCCAATTTATCATTCAATCGCCGCCGGCGCCACATTGATGGAGCAAGTTGACTGTCACCCGCTGGTGTCACCCTTTTGAATTTCGTCTACGTTCACGTCATTGTTTATTACGGCGCCAAATTGCAAATAGCGACGACTAAAACTCGATCGTATTTTAATTATTTAAAGATTTCGGGGAAAAAAACATTCTATAAAAATAGTTATTCTAAAGAAATCGCATAAAAATCCCCAGTATCTTAAGAAAAACCATAATTACGGTTCAATCGTTACGTAACGTACGATGACAGAATTCCAATTTCGCATTTCGCAAGAAATGTATGTCTGTAATACGTTAAACCGTCGTTAATTATATTTAATAAATACATGTATTTTTAAAAAATACGATTTATATTAAAAATTTGAAAAATGTTTCACTTTAATATCAGATATTCATACAAAACCACACAAAAATCCCCAGAATGATAAGAAAAACTTTAATCGCGTTTCAATCGTTCTATAAACGTACGATAATCATATAATTTTCGAATTGTGTACAAAATGCAATAAGCTAACTTATCGACAATTAAATTTCATGTACATGTGTACTGAAAACAATACGATCTATAATCGTAATTTGAAACACTTCATTCTAATAGTGACAGTTACTCGTCTCGGTGACTGTGAGGTTTAGTATTGCAGTAATCATGGCAGATGTAGTTGATGACGCTTCTAAAGGTATTATAAATTTCTCTCGCATTATCAAACAAGCTCGTTGATTTCGCAGTCTGTTATTCAGTCAGTAACAAATAGAAAACACACGATAAGAGATACGTTTGCGCGGTTATGCCCGACATTTGGTGGGCGGAGCATAGCAGTTACGTCACGTCCGGTTTTGGAAATGATCCCTGATTGGATAGTCCCTCCGTGGTTTCTGTTTTAGTGATGCCTGTGTCCCAGCCAGTGCGTGCCAAGAGTTTGTTACGCGCAAACTTAGAAAATTCTCGCGGACGACTTTTGCAAAGCAGAATGCCAAACATCAAAGTCTTCAGTGGCACCTCGCATCCAGATTTGGCTCAGCGTATTGTCGACAGGCTCGGCATAGACATTGGAAAGGTTGTCACCAAGAAATTTAGCAACCTCGAAACATGGTAATGGTCGCAATCACCGCTATAACCACGTTATTGTCATTGCCTTAAACTGAGCTTACGACCACGTGTCACACGATATTTCATTCACGTTCCTTCTTTCTGCTGTATTTTTTTACGGCCGATAGATAAATTCAAGTATCCTGGCGTTACATTGTTAATATCTTTCGTTAATTTATCAACCCTATCGGGGTACAAACAACCCTGTCGCGCAAGGCCGGTTTCCCCGTGTTGCTAAACCGCGACGTTTAAGTTGAAGGTCAACTAGTACAATTATTAATACATCATCGTAATGAATTCTCACATCAATGAATCTTTGTAAGCGTTACTACACAATGCCGAGGAATCAGAGCGTCTATAGAATTTTTTAAACAAGTATTTAACTACCACTCCATTGTTCGCTCTTTTGTTTGTTTCTATTATGTAGTATGTAGTACAGGAATCCTTTTATGGAAAATATTTGATTATACAGAAAGCAATTTACATCTCGTAAATTAATCAATTCATGACATATATTATCGAGCGCCCGAAAAATTAGCATATAATAAAAATATTGATCAAACATGAATAATTATATCTACTAAATATATCGATTTTTTAATCTACTTGTACTCGTGTGCTATCGAATTGTACATTTTTATTTAATGTTTTCTGCATGTTTGCGTTCATGTTGATTATATAATAATATACTTATGAATATTTTCAATTATAATTATGGTTGATTTATGCTGTAGTGTGGAAATAGGAGAATCCGTTCGAGGAGAAGATGTGTACATTGTACAAAGCGGAAGTGGAGAAGTAAATGACAATTTGATGGAATTATTGATTATGATCAATGCTTGCAAAATTGCTTCAGCGTCGCGTGTGACAGCAGTAATCCCTTGTTTCCCATATGCGAGACAAGATAAAAAGGATAAGGTAAGCTATTCCATAAAAGGATGAATAATATATTATTATATTTTTGTGATCTAGCATAGTTTAATCATGGACACTTAACAGAATAATTCTGTAAAATTAATATAATTATATTAGTTATGATCTTACAGTTCTGTCCTTATTACATGGTATCTTTTAGCACATACACGTATGTACTTTCACTATAACATATCAAGTATGTGTCACAATGTTGTACCTGAATTGAACGTCAGTTATCTTCACAAAAAATTTGTCTATTAGTTCTTTACAAAACCTCTAATAAGTAATTAATCATTTTTACTGATGCAAGTCAATGTAATACTTGCATCATATGCTACAGCATTTTGTTACCATTATGATTGATGTAACTTATGTGTGTGATATCTGTTTTAATATAAAATATCTATATCATTATATAGACACATATTCACAAATTTGTATATATTCTCTTTTATCGATTAATATTTTGCCAATTAAAGAAGTATATATTCTGTCTCTTATACACATCTAGATGTGTATAAGAGACAGGGTTTATAGTGAAAGGCTTTGCAGTTTTGTGGTAAAAGAATCTGGAAATTAGCTCAAAATACTATATACATATACTTGTTTAGAATACCCCCTTAATATGATAATTTAATATTATTTATTAGTGCAGGAAAGAATGGAAATATACTGTGTGCCTGTCTCTTATACACATCTAGATGTGTATAAGAGACAGGGTTTATAGTGAAAGGCTTTGCAGTTTTGTGGTAAAAGAATCTGGAAATTAGCTCAAAATACTATATACATATACTTGTTTAGAATACCCCCTTAATATGATAATTTAATATTATTTATTAGTGCAGGAAAGAATGGAAATATACTGTGTGCCTGTCTCTTATACACATCTAGATGTGTATAAGAGACAGGGTTTATAGTGAAAGGCTTTGCAGTTTTGTGGTAAAAGAATCTGGAAATTAGCTCAAAATACTATATACATATACTTGTTTAGAATACCCCCTTAATATGATAATTTAATATTATTTATTAGTGCAGGAAAGAATGGAAATATACTGTGTGCCTGTCTCTTATACACATCTAGATGTGTATAAGAGACAGGGTTTATAGTGAAAGGCTTTGCAGTTTTGTGGTAAAAGAATCTGGAAATTAGCTCAAAATACTATATACATATACTTGTTTAGAATACCCCCTTAATATGATAATTTAATATTATTTATTAGTGCAGGAAAGAATGGAAATATACTGTGTGCCTGTCTCTTATACACATCTAGATGTGTATAAGAGACAGGGTTTATAGTGAAAGGCTTTGCAGTTTTGTGGTAAAAGAATCTGGAAATTAGCTCAAAATACTATATACATATACTTGTTTAGAATACCCCCTTAATATGATAATTTAATATTATTTATTAGTGCAGGAAAGAATGGAAATATACTGTGTGCCTGTCTCTTATACACATCTAGATGTGTATAAGAGACAGGGTTTATAGTGAAAGGCTTTGCAGTTTTGTGGTAAAAGAATCTGGAAATTAGCTCAAAATACTATATACATATACTTGTTTAGAATACCCCCTTAATATGATAATTTAATATTATTTATTAGTGCAGGAAAGAATGGAAATATACTGTGTGCAGTAGTACTCTGTAACATCATTAAAACTAATAAACTGTGTGAAGATGAAAAACTTATAAAATTAAACAGCTTACAGAAAGAAATTATGCTTCAGTGATTTTAATATTTTAGGTATATATGTAACAGTTTCCTAATTGATATATGCCATTAATTAACATAATTAAACTGCTTTGCATATGTAAATACAGTAGCCAATTATGTAGGAGAAAGTAATATTTTTAGAAAATAGTATCAAATGTAGGTTTTTTGATTCACGTTTATCATATGCCTACACTTTTGTAATTAAATGTTTTTTTTTATGTTTATCCCCTTAAACAAAGTATCTTTGACATGATATGCATACCCTGTACATACTGCAGATATTCCATGAAAATAGATTAGAATGTGGAACAGACTGTTTACATTTTCTGTAAACATAAGTAATTAAAACGAGGATATCACTGAATGTAGGTGGATATCTCGTTTGAGAAGAAGTTAAATTTTTTTTCTATGATATCTTCACAGGGTGGTGATGGAGGTGACAACTCAAATTCTAAGAAAGAAATTGTCATGAAGTCAAACGAGTGGAAATTCAGGGTAACTTGTAGCGGTCTTTTTACACCCAATTTACGGTTTTATAGCTTTGCAACAAATCAATGGAGCAATATCATTTTTGGAACGCAAAACTTGATTTCTCATCATCACATAAAATGTGCTTGCAACATTTTTGCTTGTCTCATTGGGATATATTAAATGATAGAATTTATACTACAGATTATATTAATGTTGTCCCATGTAATATATATTATTTCTGTAAGATATAACTAACAGATGAAAATCAGATTCTAAATGAAATTACACGAAAAGTAACATGCAGTTTTAAAAACAAATGGGAGCAATTTGTCTGCTATAACTATACACAATGGTCCATTAGAGCATGAGTTTAGGAAATTAAGGGTATTTATCATACTACACGAATTTATATATCTTTAAAATTGTAGAAGTAAACTGTAAGATTTAATATACATTTGAATTTTAAAGAAAATGATAAAACATTTAAATCGTACACATGTTTGCATGAATTAATAATTGGAGAATATTAATATCGATTATGTTATACATTTGATATTATCGTAGTGCTTCATTTTATATTTCATATATAAAAAATTCTATGAATTGTATGGAATGTTGTAAGCACTCAGATAATATGTATGGAATAATATTGATGTCTATTACTCAAAACTAAATTGCCGAGGCTGTAAACAACAAATACATTATAAACTGAAGCATTGCGTTCAGTAAATAATCCAAGGTTATCAAGAGTTTGATAACCCATCTGAATATTGCAAAATCAGTATTCATCGAGGGGGGCCTTTCGTGCATTATAAGACCTACACCACTGCATATTAAATAAGCTTTATTCTATTAAATTTCTCAATTAAACAAATTATTCTTATGATACGTTTCAAATATTATTACTTGCATGATATAATATTTTTACGAACATAAATACAAAAATATGATTTATTTTATAAAGATTTAATAGAGCATGCAATACCATTAAAATAATATAATGGTATTTTAAATATATATTAAACATTCACAAATAAAATAATGTAAATTCTAGTGTTGGATAAACAATTTTTAAATAAATTTTTAAGTATTTTGTAGGTTTCTTATAAATTATATTGTAAGACTGTTAAAGATAAGCCTTCTTGTTAAAAGATTTATAATACATGCTACTAAGATTCTGAATAGTTGGGTATTTTCAGGATTTTGTGCCCGACCTCTCTACAGTGAGTATAAGAGCAATTAGATTGTCGAGTGAAGCGTTTGTAACTATAACTCGATGAAAAATTCGATTTGTAATATCACTTTTTAGTTTCTTACAGAATTTTCTTTGTAGGACTAACAAAACTTATAATTGTTGCTATATGGCACAATGGTACCCCCATGAATGAATGAATGAATGAAATATTTGGTCAAAGCATATTGATATTTGAATGAGAGGGCAAAATATTAATATAATAGCATTCTACATATATTTTTAATAATTTATGTACATATAACGGGGTACACAACTGTATGTTATATGGGTACTAATTTTTATGTTGCTAAAAATGTTATTGTCCAAATATACTAATAAGAAAAATGTGCCTATCTAATTAACAGAATAGTGCTTTGGCAAAAAGGAACTGTGATTGTGTCGCCTTATTAATAGTATGCAAAGCCTTAATTTAAAATTAAGTGACTTGCGAATACAATTTTTTGTTAAGGTGTTAACATTAGTCAGCTTTTGTGAAATTTATGCTCTCAACAAACAAGTTTATTAAGATGACCCAATTATAATCATTCTCCTAAGCACAATGCATTGATTATTATACTTCAACTTTCATTTTGTTACATTGTGTTAATTATAATGATTTAATAATATGTTTATCATGTTCCTTTGTTATAATTTAAAATTTACTAGACATGTTTGTTGTACAACTTCGTCGTCCTAAAATTTCCCTGTAAACAATTTACGAATCGAAATGCATTGTGTTCCATTTTCCATCTATCAGTTTGAAGTCCGCTTTACTTATACTTTTTGTTGAGTCTAACTGGGGTGCATTTGCAACATATATTTTTCCTTTTAATTTTTTTTCATGTACACATATGTACAAGGTATTTTTTATAACAAATAGTTCAAAATATGGCCATTGTATTCATATTTTGTCCCCTCTAAAGAATTCTATAACTTTTGTTCTTTGACATGTCTTTTCTTTTTTTCTATAGACAATGTATCAGGTTTTGTCCTATTTTATTTCTTGATTCACAACTTTTGGAAATGCTACAAAAACCTTTTAACAGCAATTTTTTTCGAATTGCAGGATATTTCCAGTTGCAAATGGACTTGAGAGACTCGCATAAATTTATGAAATTTAAATCGACAAATATTTATTTTTCAGAGTCGTGCGCCTATTTCGGCAAAATTGGTAGCAAATATGTTGTCGGTAGCAGGAGCTGATCACATCATTACAATGGATTTGCATGCTAGTCAAATTCAAGGTTTTTTTGATATTCCCGTCGATAATTTATTCGCTGAACCTGCCGTTTTAAAATGGATTAAGGAAAATATTGTTGAATGGCGAAACAGCATCATCGTTTCTCCAGATGCAGGAGGTGCTAAGAGGTAGTATAAAAATCCACGATTTTCCAATAAATCTTTAACTTCTTTTTTAAACATTAATTTCATTTAATTAGGGTAACATCTATCGCTGACCGATTGAATGTTGAATTTGCGCTTATACATAAAGAAAGGAAAAAGGCAAACGAAGTTGCCAGTATGGTACTGGTTGGAGATGTAAAAGATAGAGTTGCCATTCTAGTAGATGATATGGCTGATACTTGTGGCACTATTTGTCATGCAGCAGAGAAGCTTTTAGAAGCGGGTGCTACAAAAGTCTACGCAATTTTAACACATGGTATTTTTAGCGGTCCAGCGATCAGCAGAATCAATAATGCCTGCTTTGAAGCTGTTGTAGTAACAAATACCATTCCTCAAGATGGTCATATGAAGGATTGCCCGAAAATACAAGTAAGCTGATAGCTCTAAGAAAAGAAACCTTTATCAACCTTTAATAAACAAATTTTCTACATATTATTTGTATTTTGTTTTAGTGCATTGATGTATCAATGATGTTTGCTGAAGCTGTAAGGAGGACTCACAATGGTGAATCTGTATCGTACCTGTTTTCAAATGTACCGTATTAGATCCAAATCTTCCTGATAATGTACTCTATGAAACTGTGTAAGACGAGTGTATTCCTTTTACACGTGTTTACTGTTATTCATAGTTTAGTTTAAACTAATTTGTCTACAGGAAAAACCTTTAAATAACTATTAATGTCTTCTTTTTTTTAAATTGTAAATCGTATGTGCTCCTTTTTCGTTTTTTTTTGTTATATATATACATATACATATATATATATATGTATATACATATGTATATATACGACCATATTTGTGTGGGACGAAACATTAGATAGATGAAGTGTATTGTCCACGTTGATAAAAAATAAGTTGATAATTAGTAGATACAAACAGGAATCCTCAGAATGAAATTGTGAAAAGTTAATTAAATTTTCACTAGGCTGCTACTTATAAATGCAGAATAATACATTACTATCTTGTTTAGAGTACAATTTGAACGGTACTTCGTTCTCTATCGGAACGTTAAGAGCAAAATACATCTATTATCGCGATGTGAACTGACTTTACGTTTATCCTGACTGTATAATTCGGGATAAAAAGCCTTGTCATGAGTGTACGTAAACACTCATGCGAAGTAATTACGCCATTAGAGGCATATCTCATTCTGACAAACATGTGGAAAAAAGTTTGCAATATTCATGTTAAATTTTTCACATGATCATACAAAGCATAAAAAAACGCTAGCTTTTTATAATTACAATATGAATGTGGTATTATATTTTAATATATCATGTGCAATAGAAAAATAACATTGAAGAGATATTGTATTTTTTTCGACTCTCTT